CCCTCCCTCCCTCCCTCCCTCCCTCCCTCCATCCCTCCCTCCCTCCCTCCCTCCCTCTCTCCTTACTTCCCTCTCTCCCTCCTTCCCTCCCTCCCTCCCTCCTTACTTCTCTCCGACACCTCCCTCCCCCCGTGGCATCGGCCACCAAACCCCGTGGCTAAGGGAATTGAATCGCTGCCCAACATTGCAACGAATCTCGGGGTGGAGACGTGGGGGGTGGGGGGTGGGGGAGGTCGGAGGTCAGCGAGCGTTTAGAATTGGATCGCGGGTTAGAGGGGCGAACAGGAGAAATTGAATAACATCGCGAGTTCATGATTCATCGGGAGTTGACATCATGTCGGTTGCTTATATATATATGAAACATGTATTGTTGTTATTATTAGCTGGTGGACGAGGAGGAGGAGGAGGAGGACGGGGGAGGAGGGAGGAGTTAGGAGGGAGGAGGAGGAGGAGGAGGCAGAGGGAGGAGGAGGATCTGAATCTGTATTGAGACTGGAGGAGCAGGTGGAGGACTCCTGTGAGCTGCTTAGCGACATTGTTTTTCACGGATGTCCAGTTCGGGTGCACGGGGGCCGATCACAACCTCTTAGTCGATCGTTCCCGGAGCACCTCGTGGCATTCACGGTTCTAACTCGCCGAGTGTACAAGAGGAGGTCGCGGTTTGATCTCGACCCTGATACCTTGCTGTATACTTGGAGTTTGCGGTGTCTCTCTCTCCCTGTTGTGAGATGTTAACTACCTCGCCTGGTATACAGGAGGCAATGGGTTCAATCCCGACCCCTGATGCCTGCTGCTGTATATTTGGAGTTTGCGTGTTTCTCTCATCATCATCATCATCATCACGGTGGCTAGGAGATGTTAACTACCTCGCCTGGTATACAGGAGGTCGTGGATTCGATCTCTACCCCTAACGCCTGCTGTATTTTCTGTCTCTCTCTCTGTCTCTCTCTCGCCGTGGCCGCGTGGATTTTTCTCCACACGTTTCGAGCAATTGGCTGCTGATAAACGTTTCCACGCGATGGTGATGATGATAAGCCCCTTGGTAGAGCTATCATTTGTGGCCAGGTCGCTTCTGAGAAAGGAGCTACACATCTCAGCGGAGGGCATTACCTGCTAAAAATCACAGCAGCTTGAGCCTCCCGGAGAGATAAGCAGATTAACTTTTTGCGATTTGTACTTTTAACTCTTTTACGAATGTATTATTAGTGCTTTTGCTTACCTTGCCGATGCTTTGCACGCCGATAATTTGCTTTGTTTGTGCGTTGCGTTTCGTTGTTTTCGCGTTTAGAAACCCCCCATGGCCACCTTCTGGATATCTGTGACGAAATAGCTTCGCAACTCATCGGATTCCCATCGCAGCATAAATAAATATTCTGATGATTCCGAAGTGCAAATTACCCATTTAAATCGGTTTTCTCTTTTCAAGAGCGGTCGAACTTTTTCAACAGCCGAGCTTTGCCTGGGGTTAGATCGCTTAAACATAACCGTGTCGTTATACCCGCCACCACCCGACACAGCCAATGAGTCATTGTGTTTGTCACGTCAACAAAACGTGGCCAGTTCGTTGCTAGTACAGCGCACGCCGGGTTGTGCCTTGGAGGGTAGAAACCCACTGCAACGTTTACAATCCGAGTGCAGCGTTTCGCAACGTGTTCATCATCAGGCGATAGCCAGAGATTTGTTGAGAAATCATCCTCCGATTGTTGGGTCTTAGAGAGGGATGCAAACAAACAAAAACAAGCCCCTAATGTGGAGCGGATATTTCTTTTGCAGAGAGTCACAGGCGGAGGCGAAAGGAAATAATTATTGAGCCTGGACTCGGATATCACGAGGCCTATCGTGTGAACAGATATGCGTAAATGCTAATTTAAGTAGAAAAAGCTAATAAAAGAAACACACACAATTACCAATCAGAACAAGTGGGTTTCTAAAGGGACCGCGTCGCTTAACACAATATATATTCGGGACGCATCCTGCAGACAGAAGGAGGCCTGAACAATGTAAAGCGTCACAGAAGTTACACAAAGTCACACAAAGTTACACAAAGCATACGCAAAGCTACACACAGTTACACAAAGTTACACAAAGCTACACACAGTTACACAAAGTTACACAAAGCATAGGCAAAGCTACACACAGTTACACAACGTTACACAAATCATACGCAAAGCTACACACAGTTACAGTTACACAAAGCATACGCAAATCTACACAGTTACACAAAGCTCACACAAAGTTACACTACGCCTACACAAAATTACACAAAGTTACACAATATCTACACAAAGCTACACAAAACTTACATAAAGTTACACGAAGCAACACAAAACATACGCAAAAGCTACACACAGTTACACAATGCTTGCACAACGTTACACAACGCCTACATAAAATTACACAACGTTACCCAACGATCACACATAGCTTACACAACGTTGCACAAAGTTGCACAAAGTGGCACAAAGTTCTAGATTTAAAGCTTTCGTTACTGCAAGGATCCATACTCTTTGGTTCTATTCGATAAAGTCACGTAGGTAAAAAATAAAACAACAAAAATCACGACGTTTCGGCCACAACACAAGCGGCCTTCATCAGGCGAAGGGACCAGGCTGTCTAGAGGACAGCGCTGGAGTGAAACACAGCCATGCTCAGACCACGACCTTTAAGCTGTGTGCGAGGAAACAAGGTGCCTTGACAAAGGAATTAGCATAAAAAATAGCATTTGATTGGCCGACTTAGCATGATGAACGGTGTAGAGGTGGTGTACATGCGGGTGAACATACCGGTTGGCGAGGGGGGGAGGGGGAGCTTACCTATTGATGGTGTGAAAAGGGAATTTTTAAGAGCTGCGAAAGTTTGGGGTACGACTACTTGAATAAATAAACTGTACCATTGAAAATTAGTTTAATGTTTGGTTCGATTTAGAACATCTTTCCAATGCTTGCTTAATTTGAAACCATCTTCTCGGTTGAAATTGTGTCTGTGTTTGTAGATCTGAATTGCCTCGTGAACAAATCTCTGATAAAAACCCATGGGTTTGCAAAGAACCTTGGTATCGGAGAAAATTATATCGTGATCACCCACAGCTTTGTAATAGTGATCAGCTACGGCAGAAGAATTCGTTCTGCCGTGTTTCAAATCTGATCTGTGCTCGCGAATTCGGTCAGAGATATGTCGCTTTGTCTCCCCGATATAGCAATCACAGCAGGTACAACTCAATTTGTAAACCCCGGGGTACTGTAAGTCAGGAATGACATCTTTCACGGATGGGATCAGATCACAAATTTCGTGTACTGTATTGAACCGGACGTGGATCTTGTGTTTGTTTAGAATTTTGGAAATCTTTTTAGTAACGCCTGCTATATATGGTAGTGTGAGGGTATTGGAGAAAGATGGCAAGTGGAGAAAGATGGCAAGCTACCATTCTTAGATGTTCTGTTTGAGAGGAGACCTGATGGCTCATTGGGGCATTCTGTCTACAGGAAAGCCACCCACACAGATTCCTACTTGAAACCTGATTCCCACCACCACCCAGCCCAAAATAATTCTCTCATCAAAACTTTATACCACAGGGCTCATTGCATTTTGGACGAACACCACCTGACCAGTGAATTAAAACATGTACACCTGGCCCTCAAAAGTAATGGATACTCTGACCGTACCATCCGCTAAGCTGTTTCTCCCTCCATACAGAAACAACCACTTGATACTCTGGTCAAAACCGTCACACTACCATATATAGCAGGCGTTACTAAAAAGATTTCCAAAATTCTAAACAAACACAAGATCCAGGTCCGGTTCAATACAGTACACAAAATTCGTGATCTGATCCCATCCGTGAAGGATGTCATTCCTGACTTACAGTACCCCGGGGTTTACAAATTGAGTTGTACCTGCGGTGATTGCTATATCAGGGAGACAAAGCGACATGTCTCTGACCGAATTCGCGAGCACAGATCAGATTTGAAACACGGCAGAACGAATTAGTCTGCCGTAGCTGATCACTGTTACAACGCTGTGGGTGATCACGATATGATTTTCTCCGATACCAAGGTTCTTTGCAAACCCACGGGTTTTTATCAGAGATTTGTTCACGAGGCAATTCAGATCTACAAACACAGACACAATTTCAATCGAGAAGATGGTTTCAAATTAAGCAACCATTGGAAAAATGTTCTAAATCGAACCAAACATTAAACTAATTTCAATGGTACAGTATATTTTTCAAGTAGTCATACCCCAAACTTTCGCAGCCCTTAAAAATTCCCTTTTCACACCATCAATCGGTAAACTCCCCCTCCCCCAACCGGCATGTTCACCCGCATGTACACCACCTTTGCACCGTTCATCATGCTAAGTCGGCCAATCAAATGATAATTTTCTAATTCCTTTGTCAAGGCACCTTGTTTCCTCGCACACAGCTTGAAGGTCGCGGTCTGAGCATGGCTGTGTTTCACTCCAGCGCTGTCCTCGAGAGAGTCTGGTCCCTTCACCTGATGAAGGCCGCTTGTGTTGTGGCCGAAACGTCGTGATTTTTGTTGTTTTATTTTTTACCTACGTCATTTTACCGAAAAGAACCAAAGAGTATGGCACAAAGTTCTAGATTTGAAGCTTTCGTGACTGCACGGAATCCATACTCTATCGTTCTTTCGGTAAAGTCATGTGAGATAGAAAACAGAATAAAAGGAAACACAACGTTTCGGTCGCAACACAAGGGTCCGTCTTCAGGTGACAAAAATGATCTGCTGTTGTGGACCTACACGTATTTATCCAGCCCCACCCGTTCCTTCAAACCACAAACCCTCCCACCGTCTCACCCGTGAACTCCTACGGCCATAATATAACACTAGGGTGTCATTAGAACTCGTTTGCCAGTAACACAATATAACACTAGGGTGTCATTAGACCTCCATTGCCAGTAACACAATATAACACTAGGGTGTCATTAGACCTCCATTGTTAGTAACACAATATAACACTAGGGTGTCATTAGACCTCTTTTTGCCAGTAACACAATATAACACTAGGGTGTCATTAGACCTCCTTTTGCCAGTAACACAATATAACACTAGGGTGTCATTAGACCTCCTTTTGCCAGTAACACAATATAACACTAGGGTGTCATTAGACCTCCTTTTGCCAGTAACACAATATAACACTAGGGTGTCATTAGACCTCCATTGCCAGTAACACAATATAACACTAGGGTGTCATTAGACCTCCATTGCCAGTAACACAATATAACACTAGGGTGTCATTAGACCTCCATTGCCAGTAACACAATATAACACTAGGGTGTCATTGGACCTCCATTGCCAGTATCACAATATAACACTAGGGTGTCATTAGACCTCCATTGCCAGTAACACAATATAACACTAGGGTGTCATTAGACCTGCATTACCAGTAACACAATATAATACTAGGGTGTCATTAGACCTCCATTGCCAGTAACACAATATAACACTAGGGTGTCATTAGACCTCCTTTTGCCAGTAACACAATATAACACTAGGGTGTCATTAGACCTCCATTGCGAGTAACACAATATAACACTAGGGTGTCATTAGACCTCCATTGCCAGTAACACAATATAACACTAGGGTGTCATTAGACCACCATTGCCAGTAACACAATATAACACTAGGGTGTCATTAGACCTCCTTTTGCCAGTACCACAATATAACACTAGGGTGTCATTAGACCTCCATTGCGAGTAACACAATATAACACTAGGGTGTCATTAGACCTCCTTTTGCCAGTAACACAATATAACACTAGGGTGTCAATAGACCTCCAATTTGCCAGTAACACAATATAACACTATGGTGTCATTAGAACTCAATTGCCAGTAACACAATATAACACTAGGGTGTCATTAGACCTCCTTTTGCCAGTAACACAATATAACACTAGTGTGTCATTAGACCTCCATTGCCAGTAACACAATATAACACTAGGGTGTCATTAGACCTCCATTGCCAGTAACACAATATAACACTAGGGTGTCATTAGAACTCGTTTGCCAGTAACACAATATAACACTAGGGTGTCATTAGAACTCCTTTTGCCAGTAACACAATATAACACTAGGGTGTCATTAGACCGCGTTTGCCAGTAACACAATATAACACTAGGATGTCTTTAGACCTCCTTTTGCCATGAACACAATATAACACTAGGGTGTCATTAGACCTCCTTTTGCCAGTAACACAATATAACACTAGGGTGTCATTAGACCTCGTTTGACAGTAACACAATATAATATTAGGGTGTTTCCCCTTTTTTCTGGCAACAAAACCGAAATTTTTTTTTCTCGAGGATTCATGTCTACTGCATTGACCGCAATACTTGCAGGTCAAAATGCAAACAAAAAAAACACACTCTGATAATAAATGCATTGTCCTTGAAACTGATTGTTCCCGGCAAAAAGAGGTCCAATGATGTACATCCTACAGCCACGTTTCGACAAAACTCCTTGCCTTATAGAAAGCCACAACACCAGACCATTTTTTTCTTAACCTGAAGACGGACGATTGTGTTTCTCGTACCAACTTTTACCCATCTACGCGACCTTTACCGAAAGAAGCGGAGAGTATTTGAGTAACACTTTAAAGAGAAAACAAACAAACACAATATCTCGCGCCGAGATGAGAGAGAGAGAGAGGGAAAATGAAGCTCTTGAAAATGATGGTCACATCGGTTCAATCCCACTGGCCTAATTTCTCATTTAAAACAAAACAAAAAAACTTGTTACTTTGAAATGTTATTCGGATTCTTTTTCCCCTCCAACACCCCGCCACCACCACCACCACAACCACCACCGGTTTTTTTTCCTTCATTGAACGCGTTTTAATGATACGCCTATGCACGTTGATCATTTTGAATAAATCCCCAGCCAATTACATTCCTGTCGCGCCACTGGGGTTGGCTGCGGTAATCGAGCGGCGATTGGCAGCGGCGCCGTCTTGAGAGAGTCCGACGATGAGCGGCGATAATGACGACGACGATGACGACGATCATGACGATGATGACGATGTCGATGATGATGATGACGGCGATGATGACGACGAGCGGCGATGACGACGATGATGATGACGACGACGAATACGACGATGATGACGATCATGACGATTATGACGATTACGATGATTATGACGATGACGAATACGATGATGATGACGATGTTGATGATGACGATGATAATGATGAGAATGATGACTATGATGATGACGATGATGACGATGTTGATGACGATGATGACGATGTTGACGATGATGATGACGATGATGATGACGACGATTATGACGATTACGATGATTATGACGATGACGACGATGACAATGATGATGATGACGATGTTGATGATGACGATGATGATGATGATGATGAGAATGATGACTATGATGATGATGATGACGATGTTGATGACGATGTTGATGATGATGATGATGACGATGATGAGGATGATGACGATGTCGATGATGAGGATGATGACGATGTCGATGATGATGATGATGACGATGATGATGATGACGATCATGACGATTACGACGATTATGACGATGACGACGATGATGATGATGATGACGATGTTGATGATGACGATGATGATGATAATGATGAGAATGATGACTATGATGATGATGACGATGATGACGATGTTGATGACAATGATGACGATGTTGACGATGATGATGACGATGATGATGACGACGTATTATGACGATTACGATGATTATGACGATGACGACGATGACAATGATGATGACGATGTTGATGATGACGATGATGATGATGATGATGATAATAATGACTATGATGATGATGACGATGTTGATGACGATGATGACGATGTTGATGATGATGACGATGATGAGGATGATGACGATGTCGATGATGATGATGATGACGATGATGATGACGACGATTATGACGATTACGATGATTATGACGATGACGACGATGACAATTATGATGACGATGTTGATGATGACGATGATGATGATGATGAGAATGATGACTATGATGATGATGACGATGTTGATGATGATGATGACGATGATGACGATGATGACGATGATGTTGATGATGACGATGATGACGATGATGTTGATGATGACGATGATGACGATTACAATTATTATGACGATGACGACGATGACAATGATGATGACGATGTTGATGATGATGATGATGAGAATGATGACTATGATGATGATGACGATGTTGATGATGACGATGATGACGATGTTGACGATGACGATGATGATGAGGATGATGATAACGACGATGACGATGATGACAATGATGATTTTGACTATTATGACGATGACGACAATGCTGATAATGATGACGACGATGATGAGGCAGGAGAGAGCGTGGAGGGGAGTGGAGTGAGATGAGAGGGAGAGGTAGGAGAGAGCGTGGAGGGGAGTGGAGTGAGATGAGAGGGGAGAGGCAGGAGAGAGCGTGGAGGGGAGTGGAGTGAGATGAGAGGGGAGAGGTAGGAGAGAGCGTGGAGGGGAGTGGAGTGAGATGAGAGGGAGAGGTAGGAGAGAGCGTGGAGGGGAGTGGAGTGAGATGAGAGGGGAGAGGCAGGAGAGAGCGTGGAGGGGAGTGGAGTGAGATGAGAGGGAGAGGTAGGAGAGAGCGTGGAGGGGAGTGGAGTGAGATGCGAGGGGAGAGGCAGGAGAGAGCGTGGAGGGGAGTGGAGTGAGATGAGAGGGGAGTTGAGTGAGATGAGAGGGGAGAGGTAGGAGAGAGCGTGGAGGGGAGTGGAGCGAGATGAGAGGGGAGTTGAGTGAGATGAGAGGGGAGAGGCAGGAGAGAGCGTGGAGGGGAGTGGAGTGAGATGAGAGGGGAGAGGCAGGAGAGAGCGTGGAGGGGAGTGGAGCGAGATGAGAGGGGAGAGGCAGGAGAGAGCGTGGAGGGGAGTGGAGTGAGATGAGAGGGGAGAGGCAGGAGAGAGCGTGGAGGGGAGTGGAGCGAGATGAGAGGGTAGAGGTAGGAGAGAGCGTGGAGGGGAGTGGAGCGAGATGAGAGGGGAGAGGCAGGAGAGTCAGGGGAGTGGAGCGAGATGAGAGAGGGGAGAGACAGGCTGCGGGAGTCACGTGATCGGGTGATGAAGACGTGGAGTCTGATCTCGACATTGCCCTGGGGTCGGAGCGATCCTCTTTGAACGGGACGTGAGTAGCTCACCGTGGGAGGGCGGGGATGAGGTGAAGGAAGGGGGGGGGTGCAGAACCGGGTTGGAGTGGCCGATAAAGACAAAGACCCCCCGTGTAGCCTCTAACAGTCTGCAGGTGCAAGTGCTGTGAGCGAGCACGCTATGAAGGCCGGCACGGCACACGATGGGGTGGGTGGCCAGCACCACGCCCGGCTGCCTTTGTCTCCCCCCGTAGGGGGGGGGGGGGTAGGGGGGAGTGGGGGGAGGGAGCGTAGGAGGGAGTGGGGGGGGGGGTGTGGGGTGGGGGTTAGGGATGGTGAGGGGGGGACGCTCACCAGCTCCCCCCAATGCACTCCGTCAGTGGCACCCCTGGGAATATTTCTGCGTCTGCCGTGAAGGGGTTTTGGGTCGCCACGTAGTCCGTGAGCTGTGGGCCTCCACGTAACGGCGACTGTCACTTCCCCCCCAACCCCCAACCCCCCCCCCCCCCCCTCTGGCCATCGCCACGTACGGTGCAAAAGAAATTCAACGTACGCACGTGCATCAGTACAATCGGAGATTTTGCCGGTGTCGATATCGGCCGATTTGACATCGTACAGCGCGGAATGTCTACAGATGCTTCTAAAGCTTCCAGCAGTTATTTCTCTCTCTCTCTCTCTCTATCCCTCTATCTCACCTCTTTATCTCTCATCAATTTATCGCATCGCATTCTCTCTCTAATCGCTCTATCTCAAGTAATCTCGTCACATTCTTTCGGAATCCCTTCATCTCATCAATCTGTCTTATCACTTTCTCTCTCATCACGTTCTCTCTCTCTCTCTCCATCACTCTCTCTCTCTCTCATCACTTCATCTCATCACATTCTCTCTCATTACGAAAGCCCATCACTTCATTTCTCTCTCTCGATGCATCAGTCGTGTAGAGATCCAGATGCGATTCGTGGAGTAGCGAAGGAGATAACTCTGATGGTTTGTCGCGTAAGTGTTAAACCGATATCGTGATTGTCAGTGGGAATTTGTCCAACATTAAGTGCAGAACCAAATGTTTCCGTGATGGGGTTATGTTTTTGTTTGCAGACAATGCCGACAGGACTAAGACCATCAATACACGGCACTTGAGATCCCAATGTAATCATTACTCAATCTTTATGAATCTGTGGGTCTCTATGCGACTCTGTGTCTCTACGCCAATCTATGGGTCTCTACTTGAATGTATGGGTCTCTACCTGAGTCTAAGGATCTCTAGCCGAGTATATGGATCTTCATGGCAGTCTATGGGAATCTACTCGAGTCTATGGGTATCTGTGTAATAAATAGGTATCTGTATGAGTATGGGTCTCTGCATGAGTATGGGTGTCGATGTGAGCCTATGGCTCTCTATGTAAGTATTTGGGTCTTTGTGTAATTATATGTATCTCTGTGTAAGTATATGGGTCTCTGTATGAGTATGGGTCTCTACGTGAGTATATGGGTATTAATGCTACTCTGTGGGTCTCTATGTCAGTCTCAGAGTCTCTGTATGAGTATAGGTCTCTACTCCATGCGAGTCTATTTCTCTCCACATGGCTCTAAGGCTCTCTAAGCCAGTCTACGTGTCTCTATGTAGGTATATAGTTCTCTGTATGAGTATGGGTCTCTACTCCATGCGAGTCTATTTATCTCCACATGGACTAATGGCTCTCTAAGCCAGGCTACGTGTCTCTATGTAGGTATATAGTTATCTGTATGA